AAGCAGCCTGAAGTGTGTTGTCATTTCTGGGCAAAGGCCTAGGAGTCAGTGACCTCCTTGGTTCTAACCCAGATTTGATGTGGGTTTAACACTGAGTCATTAGCTCCTTTTTTTTACATCTGGGTTTCCTCTAGGAAAAATGATCTGTCATTCTTTCATATCTTCATATGAAAGAAGCTGCAATGACTAGGTTACATCAGCATCTTTTCACCAGGGAGATGTCTTCATTCAAAAATGCAGCTCCTTGGGTAGACCACAGGGGTCGCTGTAGAGTCACGGAGGGCTCCCCCTCCTGCTTCCTTCTGAGAAGTCAAGTGGTCCCCACCTGCTCCTCAAGACTCGCAAAGCAGGGCCTCTATTGGGTGGTGAGGAGGGGACTCCCCAGGAGAGGCATGAAGCACGCTGGCCTCAGTTGGCAACAAAGACTACCGAACTGCTTCAGTTATAAACAGTATATTTCTTTGAGAATTTTTTCTAGTCTTTGAAAAGTAAAAAAAAAAAAAAAATGGAAATCCTAAAGGAAGAGCATGTGGCCTAACTTAAATGTAACCACAATTAGGCACTAGAATTAGAACAAGCAATGATGCAATAAAAAAGGGGGGGAATTAAACTTCGGTCTGTTGTGTATTAATAACTCAAATCCTTCTGGAAGTCAAAGAGTTCAAGTCTGTCTTTGATCAACCTCTCTCCCTCTCTGTCTCTCTCATACACCCACATACAAACATGCAGAGAGAACCTTAAAAAATAAAATTACAGCAAAAATACTTCTATGTTCCAGAAATTGCTAATATTTTCCTCCACTGGGCAACTGGTCAATAGACCAGCAACTGGCATGTCGAAAGACATATTCATGAATTGAATGCTAAGTCACATTTCCCCAAACCATAGTGTCATTGGTATTCATTCTACATTCCACAATTTCACTTGGAAAATTACAGAGGAAATAGAAAGGGAGATTGCTTGGTATTAAATATTTCACATTCATGTGAAACAATTACAAAAGAAATCTCATTGTGATTTTTCAGTCTGTATATTTTAGTTTCATCTATTTCAATATGGCAGAACAAACCAACATGATTATTCACTTTCTTCTGTTGCCTAGCTTAGAGATTCCACTCTTTATTAACACAAACTGCTTATTTTCACTGCAAGGAAACCCCAAGATAATGCCTCACTTCTTTTTTCTCTGTTCTAACAACACACTGCTGCTGACTGGAGCTACTAATGGATGGGTCAACACCATTACTCAGACTAAATAAATGGGAAGTTTTGATGGCTCTAATTTAGGTGATTTAAGATCACAATAATAAAGAATACACCATACAAAATGGTCTAAGCCATATTCTGTTTAATTAAGATAACCTTCTCATTATCTTCCTATTCATTGCTCTCATTTTAATATCCTTGGATCATAAAGATATTTTATTTTTATTATTACTTTTGAAATAATATTACTAACAGAATTCAGTAGTCCATACCAGGGCTATTAGGGCTTTTTAACATGGGCATTACTGACATTTTGGTCTGGGTGATGCCTTGATGGGGCAGGGGGAGGTTTGTCCTGTGCATTATAGAATGATTAGAAACACCCCTGGCTTCTGCCCACTAAATGCTAGTAGCACCCTCTACCCCCAGTCATCCAACAATGTGTCCAGACTTTGCCAAATGTTCCAGTGGGAGTGGAGGGAGAAGAAGGGTGTAAAATCAACTGGCTTAGAACCACAACATGTGCTGATGAATTGGTACAATGAAAAAGGGAGAGGAAAGGAAGAAAATGAAACTTTTTGTCTCTTCCTATTTTTCATTGCCGAAGCCACTACAGATTTTGCAAGTCAATTCTTTGGATTCTTTCTGTATTTAATGAAATCACTCTTTCTAAATTTCTAGAACCTCATGCAGTGTCTTTTGAATAGATATGCCTTGAACATCAAGTGGACTGTCAAACTCCTAGAAGTCCACTAATGCCCAGTGGGCAAACTATCGGTAAACCTTAGCATAACTCCACTTTGAGCCTTAAACTAACAGCATGTGAAAAGATCAATATGAATAAATTCAAAACTAATCAGACCCCTTCTTTAAATGTTGACACAGTATTATTTATATCCCATAAATACATTCTTGACTAAAATTCATCCTAGGAGATTGGCACCTGGCCAGTTCTATTCATATTTACTATATTTATATAGTACACTTGGCCAAGGATAATATTTAAGACAAAATATGCCTGAGGGCATATACAATATCTCTTATATTTTTACTTTTAAATCTCCACATTGCTAAAAATATTTAGTCTGAACTTTATAAAATGTCCCATAAAGGGCTATCAGCAATCTGTAATGATATATAGCTCATTGAGTATAATTAGAGCATATTTGTAATACTTGAGCTGAAGTCACTCCCCGAACACTAATAAGTTGGTGGTAAAAAATGAACCAGTGATCTTTCCCATGCCTTCGTCTCTGGGGCTTATGACCCTTGCCGGATTCGCTGCAAGAAATGACAGGCACACTCCCTCAGTGACAGCCCAGTTAAAAGTTAAGCAGAAAAGTCCTAAAGAGGGAAAGTCGGTATATAAGCCAATGCTGTACTTCCAATTTGCTTTTTAAAAATATGGGTTTATTTTTTTTCTTTTCTTCCTTTTTTTTGGAAGGATTCGCTATATTCCAGTATAACTAGAAAGTGCTGGAAAATCAGTTAACCTACTTTCTATAAAATTTATCCACAGTCCTTGCACAGTAGTATCGAACCTGCTATTCATATGGCTTTCTGCTCCTAAACTTAAAGCCTGTATTTTCTGTATGAAAACTGGTAGTATATATTTTATCCTGGACTTACCAGAAATTGTAATTTATTTGGCAGCTAGAGGTGAAAGGGAGAAGAGAATGCACACAACGATCCTAGATGCCATATTCTGAAACTCTCCTAATAATCTAGGAATTTTTCTAATTTTTTGACGACTGTGACCCTAGGTTGGATCATCTCAGCTCTTCAGACCAAAGTGTGCTTGAGAGAACAAAAAATTAACGCCCTCTTCGGTTACTTGCTCTCTCCATATCTATACAATAATAAGATCAGATCTCCTCTCTGTGCTATAAAAGTACTGGTGGTTTGTTGGTTCTGCATGTAAACATTGAAAGATGAGTTATTTCAAGTTCTGCATAAGCTACTTGCCTGTCTGCCCAAATACCAGTAGAACTGATGCACGTGCTAGAGAAAGCAAACTGACTCAACTCCCTGCTCCGACTCAATGGTTTTGGACTAATTACAATGAACTTGCTCTCCTAATATCTCCTTGGCTCCACCCCAGATAGAAAGCTTTACTTCCCCAGAGGGATAACCAGGGTGGAGTATATTTATCACCACTGCTGTGGATAGTGCCATAATTACAATAATAAAATCATCCTGCTTGCCAGAATTCCCTGCATCTGTTCTGCTATTGAATAAGAAGAGCAGAACCCTGCAGCAAAATAAAGGTCACCAGAAAGACTGGAGTTAGATGCATGGGCTGACACTCTGAGACCATCAAGGACAAGACATGGCAAGTCACAGGGCTAGGACTTGTCCAACTAAAAATAAATATTAAAAAAGAAAAGCACCACCCTGCAATTAGAATCTCTAGGATAAAATTACCAAGATGGCTGTATTATCTATTTAGGCAAGACACGGAGGCTTTGCAAAGGCAGCCAGCAAGTATATAGGGCATGGAAAGGGGAGGAGAGCAATAAGCAACCAATGAAAAGTTTACAACTTGGGATTTGGAATACACAAATGTACAAGTGATTTTTTTTTCCTTTTCTTTTTCTTCTTCCTGGTATTTAACCCTCTCAGGTATCACTAGTTACTGCTTCTCTCTCTCTCTTTTTTTTTTTTCTAAGAACTCTGAAATAACTCTCTGCTAACTGTCCTCTTCCCTTCCCCCAAAAGAGCTCCACAATAAATCATTTCACTCCCATCGCTACCGTATGCCAGCTGGTTTTGAGGGCACTGTTCTCAGAGAAGCCAGAAGCCAGTTAAAAAAAAAAAAAAAAATCCGGCTGTCTTCTACTCTGAGTTTTAGGAATGCACGGAAGTAACTACAGAAAGCCCATGAAAAGGCAGGAGCACAGTGCTCAAGGTTGAAAAAGATCAACAATAAGCCCCTAAGAAAAATGAAAAACGATCTGCTACACCGGAGGTTTTTAAGAAGACAGGTTTGGGTGAATTCTGAAAAAAAAAAAATAATAATAATAATAACGTAAACCGAAACCTTTTTTTAAACACAGTCAGAAACGAAGTTGTCCTTTCTGTCACTCCAGGTGAAGTCAAAAGGGGACGTGGTTACAAGATTTTGCCATTGGGTAATTACACGCCTAGGGGTGGCAATGCATACATCACGGATTGAGGGGTTCGAGGTAGCTTTCTCAAGGGGTCTCGGTTTTGTTTCTGCAATGCTGACATATTTTAGGGGAGTCGGAGACAATGGGGAAGGCTTGGGGAACCGGCTGATAGGTCAGCGCGGAAAGGGGGCGCCTTCCGGAGAGGCTAGCGTGGAGCCTCTTTTTTTTTGTTTTTTAACCCTTCGTGCACCAGTTCGGCGCGCTCCACGTCCATCGGAGCAAAGAAAACAAACCTAACCAAGATTTTCCCCGGTTTAACTCTGCCCCAGGGAGCGCCCCTCGTTTGACAGAGGAGGGCTGACTCCAGGCTGGTGGCCGAGTCAAGAATTCCAGGGAAGAGAGAAAGAGCCTAACGCCTTAGAAAGCACGGAGGAGGCGTTGGGGGAAGGGAGAGCTGGAGAAAATAAAGCAGAAAGTTAACGTTGCAAAGCCTGACGACCTCACGCGCACAAGTGGAAAAGGAGGTGGACGGGGCGAAGAAGGACGGGAGAACCGGGGGGAAAGAGCGGCGGGCAACCGGGGGGGAGGGAGGGAAGGGCGATCCCCGGGGCCGCTGCGGCTCCGCGAGCTCCCCGGCAGCGCTAAACCTCGGGGGGAGGGCTGGAAGCGAGAATCGGTACTTACTTTCGGAGGGGAAGAAGGGCGGCATGTCGATCTTGTAAACCTCCTTGGCGTAGTACTCCTCGTCGCTGCGCTCGCGCTCGCAGGCGGCCGCCCTGCGGCTCGCCTTCTCCTGGAGCAAGTCCCTGGTGCTGTTGTAGATGGAGATCACCTCCGGGGGCACCTCCTCGGGCTCGGGGTAGTCTTCTGGGGGGCTGGTGAGCTTCAGCTTGCTCAGGATCTGCCCGCGGATCGCCTCGATCCTCTTGCGCATGAACTGGTCCATGTCGAGCGTGCTGCAGGTAGACAGGCTGAGCGCCACCGTGACCAGATGCAGGATCAGAAAAGCGCTCAGGACGCAGTAGTGCATTTTTTAAAAAGGTGGAAAAAAAAAAAAAGTTTTGCTTTTGTCTTTGTTGTTACCAAAAAAATAAAAAAAAAAATAAACTAACAAGAAGCAGAAAACAAAGAAACGAACAAGTCTCTAAGTACAGCCCAGGGAGAGTTGTTTGTTTGTTTGTTTTTAATGCGAAACTTTTGCAAACAATCGGAGAGTCAATGCCCAATAGAAAAACGTATCTTGCTTGATTCTTTAAAAAAAAAAAAAAAAGAAAAGAAAAGAAAAAAAAAGAGAGAAAGAAAAAAGAAAAGGACAAGGAGTTCCCAAAGTGAAAATATTAATACGAGATGGGCAGGGGGAACCCTGACTTTGGGGAGTAAGAAAAATTTTTCTTGGAGCAACCAGATGTGGGGGGAAAAAAAATAGACGAGTGGCTATTAAGCAGAAATAGATTTAGGAGGAGGAAATGGAGTTCAGTGTGTCAGTCTCGGGCGCGGAGTGGCGGATCTGAACTCGGCTCCTCCGGCCAAAAGGGAAGAGATGAAAAGGTCCCGGGGCTGGCAGCGGCGCACTGACGGGAGGGGCGCCGGGGCTCCGCGAGGGGCCGCCAGGCCGAGCCGGGCTGTAATTTATATATTTAGAGCAGGAGCGGGCCGGCCCTGCCTGCCACTGCGGAGCCGGGAGCCGGGGCAGCAGCAGATCGGCAGCGGAGCAGCGCACACGTGTGTGTGTGCGAGTGTGTGTGTGTGTGCGCGCGGGTGTGTGTGCGTGCGCGGGTGTGCGCGCGCTGGGGGCGAGCCCGGCGCGCCGCGGGGAGGCGGGCGCGCTTCGCACGGCGCTCGGCGCTCGGGACTCGGTCGGGGGCCGCGAGGATCCTGCTCGGGGAGCCGCGCGCCGTGGCCTACACCCCGGCGGAGCGCGGACCCGCTGGGTCACTCCACGTTGCCGCCGCCGCCGCTTGCAAAGGCGTCCGCTCGCCGGCTCCCTCCTGGTCCCGCTCCTCCGCTCGCTGCAAACGCCAGCCCGGCCGCCGGTCAGCTCCGCCGCCGTCGCTCTCGCCCCCTGCGGACCACAGCGGCGGCCCCGGGATGCGCTGGCTGCGGAGTTTTATTCCTTAAGGGGGTTGCGTAAGGGCTCCCCTGGACTCCCACCCTTTCCCAGCCTCTCCTGTTTTCTGCCCCACGTGGACTGTCTCGCTTAGGGCAGGTAGGCGCTTGCCACCCAGAAACGGACCCTCTCTTCCTCCTCTTTTCTGCAGCCCCGCAGCCCGAGTTTGTTCCTGAATGACTCCCTAGACCGTTATCCTGGCGCTCCCCATCCCTCTGCCCCTGCCTCTTTCACTTGCTCCCTTGCTCTGCTCGCTCTCTCTCTCGGTCTCTCTCCCTGTCTCTCTCTCTCTGTCTCTGTCTCGTCGGGAGCTTCTGGAGCCCCGATCGGAGCGAACCTTCTGCTGCCAGCAGATAACATCACGATCTTGCCGGGGAGGAGAGATTTATAAGTTCTCTCGGAACCACGTGTTTGCCTTCAACAAAGTGACGTGCTAGGATTACAGTCAGAAGTCCTCTCGTTACTTAGACCACGAGCTCTCCCCAGACCGTTGAGGGGGTGTGGAAATGAGGGCGGCCGTGGGGAAGGGAGGGAGGAGGCGGAATGAGCGCCCTGACAACGGTGATTTACGGTATTTACTTTCTAAGGTCATTTTGGACAGGTCCGTTGAAGGACAAGCTATCAAGTCTCCCGTTTTCACTTAGTGTGGCTCGCAGTCCCCCACACTGAATCCCTTGCTCCGGAATGGGAGTCTCCCCTCCTGTCTTCTGTGTACGCGCGCGCACGCACCTGTGGGAGGCAGCACCCGTCTACTCTGGGCCAGGCCAGTCCTGAAGTCATGCCTTCCACTCTAGGATTCATGTCCTACCTTCTTAATTCTTCTTGGTTTCCATAACAGGTTGCCATTCTGAGCTTATTTAGTTTGTTGTTTACAGTCTAATTCTCTGACTGTGAACTGCTGGGAAACAGATTTTTTTTTAAAAAAAAAAAACCTAAAGAATAAGGTATATTTGTTTGTTTTACTGTTTTGAATGAATGAGTGGTCACCTTTATAATTTGCTGCCTCAGCCACTTCTTAAATGGCTTTGTCTTCACCGCCTTCCTAGGCTGGACATTATCAACCAACTTCATTCTTTCCATAGCATTTATCCAGGACGCTGGAATTTTAAGTGTTTGATGTCTACTGTTATATACTACTCATAACTTGACATTTTTCTATTTCAACCAAGTCCAAATTAGATGAATACAAGAATAGTTCTTACCACTGTTCAATTTTCCCTTTTTTTTCCCCCTTTAGTCAAAGTCAACATTTTCATTTCAGCATGACTCTCTAGCCATACTGACCAGACAGATGATTTAAACTGGAAACTCTCTTGAGTTTTCCCCCAAACTCAAGGTCTTTGTATTATTTCCTGGTTCAGATGTTCCATAGTTTTGACTTTTCAGAAAAAAAACTTTCTATGACTTTTAGAACTTACCTTTTAGATGTGTATGGAGGCTGTATCATTAGTAAATAGAGGGCTGAATAAATAGTGATAAAACAGCTAACATATACTATAGTTAGTGATATTGTAGATATGTATATATAGTGATTTAATCTTCACAACCACCCTATAAAGTAGGTATTATTATCCATATTTAGCAGATAAGGAGACTCAGGTACCAAGAAGTACTGTGTTTTGCAATCTGAATCCATTGTCTATGTTCCTACCTATTATGTACTTCTAAAAAACAGTGGTCCCAGAATATGTTCTAAGAAACAGGGCTTCTCGGGTCAAATAAGTCTGGGAGATACTGGGTACTCCATTGCCATCTTACAGATGCATAATTCCCATTATCATGTTAAAGGCTCTGGGAAATCCTGCAGAAAACTTTTCAGCTCTTTTAATCCAGCCTTTTCTGAACTCCCTTGAACATGGAATTGTTTTCCCCTCTTAACACACATTGGAAAAATCTGGAATAAAGCAATTGTTCCAAGTCACTTCTGAATAATTCTGAAAATTATGTGTAACTCAGCATCAGCAGGTTCCTTTCCTTGAGGCCAGTTTTGAATTGAAGCAACTTGAAAGGAGGCAGACAACCAGCTACCATCTCAATAACCAAAGCAAAATCAAATCAAGTGGGCTACTGTCAGACTGGCAGTTTCACCAGGTTAAGTTATCCCTTTGAGTTCTGTTTGAGAACTGGAGTAATCTAGCTATACAGAAAGGACAAAAGGACAGTCCTACACCTGGGGCAATTAGAGAACATAATAGAGCAGAAGCTACAAAGGAGAGCTACTGAATGAAGATGTCGCTTTGAAATATGGCTGGTTACCTGAGTTAGCTATTACCATATTTGACTTAGGTTCAACTTCTCCACAAGCGAGTGAGCATCTTTCAGTGTTCACAGACCACCTTCTTGGTATACACACAGACGCACCTTAGGTTAAAAAGATTCAGATTCAAATGTAGATAGAGCAGCAAAAGTCCATTTACATCCATCCCTTCTAGGAAAACAACTTAAGCTGTAAATTCTTCTGACAATCACCCTCCTTCCCAACATAAACATACACACTTTTGTTCATAATACTTAGTCTCTTGAACACTTGTTGTTTACTTACCAACCCCTTAGACCTGAGACCCCTGACCTATTCATAAGAGGATACTTTATGGGTAAGTATAGTAACATCCAGAGAAGAGGAGCATCTTTCCAGCTCTTAGCTAAGCAGTTCTTTGCAGATGTAATAGGTAAGACTGCAAGAGCTTTTACCCTGGTAACCAAAAATGAGTCCTTTCTTTTATTAAATAATGCTTTTAAGGCCTTCCATCTCTATATTCAAGAAACATTCACTAATTTGAGATATTATGTGCTGGGAACTCTTTACATTCTTCATGGTAAAAGGGTAGTTAAACTATATGCATACACTATCTTCATTACCTCAAGGAGACAGGTGAGCACAGTGGTCAAAAGGGCAGGCTCCAAAATCAAGATCTCTCTTGTGTTCAAATTCCTATCACTTTCTGGCTTTGTAATCCTAACCAAGTTACTCTGTGTTAGTTTCTTCATCTATGAAACAAGGGATAATAACATAGTAACAACCACATAGGATTATTGTGAGGATTTAATTACACAAGGTACAGAAAGCACTTATAACAAAACCTGGCACTTAGTATATGCCGATTAAATGTTGCCTATCATTATCTTATCCTACCACTTGTTCATTTCCGGAAAGGAATCTATAATAAAGCATATCTGGTCTCTACTCTTTCTCAGATAGAATTTAAAAACCAGGGAAGACCCCAGGAAGAATTTGCTTTTGGTTATGCCTCCTAGCAGTTTCTGTAGGTACATGTTTATTATTTTAAACATTATGGTATTATGCCCCCAGTAATTACAGGAGTTAAGGACAAGAAAACACACTTTGGGTAAATAAAACACTAAATGACTACCCAAGTTCAGTTAAGCATTCAAGATTAAGGTCTCTTATTATTTAACACCCTCAAATGAATTCTTTGTTTCCAGATTAGTGAGGCAGAGAGTGCCTGTGTTACAGCCATTAGCCATTCTACACTCATTAATGGGTCTATTCACGTAAGTAATGTGTAATTCCTATAAGAGGCTAAATAAAACAGAACTACTCATCCCCACCCTGGAATTTTACCCCTGTGGATCCTCAGCTTGAGCTTGTGATCTAATAGGTCTTTCTTAGCTCTGATTAAAGAATAACTTCATTTGTAACAATTTTGAAAGCTTCTCCAATTATTTCAAGCATAAAAAACAAGGAGGTGAGGAAAAGAAATATATAGAATTCCTGCAGTTGATTATATTTTTCTCCAAACAATGACACTTAATAAATGCAAAATAACCCTTTAATATGAAAATATACCAAAAGCCTTTTAAGTTCTTACTTATAATTTTATCTTTGATACCACAATTCAAAAACAATGTTTGGCATATGTTTTGTCTCATGTTCTGTACATATTTCTATAGATAAATCTATGTGCTTAGAGTAATGAAACGGAAAGGTTAATGATTTCCTCATGAAAAGTAACCCCATTATTATTTCCATTTTCTATCTACAAATTAATCTAAGAAAAAAGTGATAATGCAAAAAAGAAAGAAGAATGGGCAGAGAGGAAAATGGAAAGAGGAGAATAAGGGCTTAAAGAGATCAGAGGTGGTATAAAAGACAACGGGATAAATTCAAGAGAGAGGTAGGGCCAAGAAAAAGCAGAGCATATCAGTAGGTTGTGAGGCTTTAAAGAGATAAACTCATCACACTCTAATGATACACTGTGGGAAGATTATCTCACCCTTTGGAATTATGATTAGCTGATTGGTTATTGCCTATGGCTTCTGGGCCACTCCTATCTCTACATTTGCAGCTCTGGCTGAGACATCCAACAAGGAGAAAATCTTTCTTTGGGAGGCAGTCTCACAGTGGCCTGGGCTATGTCTGCTCTCCAGGATCTACTGAAATTAGTTGCAGCCTCTGGTTTCTCACCCCCGGTGAAATTCATCTGTTAAGATGGCATTTAGGGACTGATATTACTAAATGCATATATGGCAATAGTTAGCACACAGCATAACAGTATGGATATATGCTTCATAAAATGCTAATGTTAGAAAAAGAAGCCAGCAGCAGAATCTTCCTTAGTTTTAATGACAGTGCATGACACTCACTCTTATAGAATCTCTAGCCCCTCTTCACTTACC